CAAAACCGTGAAGCCGGTAGCGCTTGGGCACTTCCCCTCCCGGGCTCCGGCTGCTGTGCTCCTCCCCTGACTCTTCGGCTCTGTTTAAGAGCCGAGCTGCTCCAGCGCTACCGGCTTCGGGCAGCCCCCATGCCTCTGGACCCTGCGCCGCTGGAGCAGAGCAGCTGGAGCCCGGGAGGGGAAGTGCCCGGCCAGTATTTTTCCCAGACATGTTCGGCTTTTTGGCAATTCTCCCCCAGACGGGAGTTTGATTACCAAAAAGCCGGACATGTCCAGGAAAAAACAGACGTATGGTAACCCTATGATAGTCCTAAGCAGCTTTGCCAAATAGGGAAATATCTGTGTAGCCCCCTTCAGAAACCACCCGTTCCCCAAGCAGACTGATTCCTCCCTCTCAGTGGCTCTGTGACCTTTCTTAAAACCAGTGAGTCCTAGGTTCTCTGTGCACCTTGCCTTCCTCCTTCAAAGAGCAACAGAGGAGCTATATCTCTTCCCGTTGCTGGAAGCAGACTCCCTGCAGTCAGCTTCTTTCCTCTCATGCCCCAGAAAGCTGTGTCTGTCCAATCTCATCTCATATGTGTGAGCAATCCCAGCTGTATGTAAGCTGGCTGGGATCTGCAATTGGCTGCTCTGACATATATCACTGAGGCTTCTTGTCTGGTCCCCAAAGGCTGTTCATGTCTCAGGCATCTGAGTAAGCAGGCTTTTGGGGTCCTGATATTCCTAATCCTCTGTGGAGTCTGAACATAGTATGGTCCTACATCTGGGAAAGCTTTTGGATGTGTGGGGCATACAGGTGGGAGTGCTGGATCCTGGTCAGGCAGTAGGATGACCAGATGTCTTGATTTTATAGGGTCAGTCCCGATTTTTGGGTCTTTTTCTCACATAGGCACCTATTACCCCCCACCTCCTGTCCCGATTTTTGACACTTGCTATCTGGTCAGCCTATCAGGTAGGAAAGAAGTTACCCAGGGACTAAGATTGCCAACTTTGGCTGGATAAATTCTTGGAGGTTTCATCACATGACATTAGCTTTAATTAAAGATTAATCTTTAATTCCTGGAGACTCCAGGACAACCCTGGAAGGTTGGCAACCCTACAGACTGATATATTTACAAATGAGGGAACTGTGTCACAGAGAAGTTGAGTGATTTGCCCAAAGTCACATGGGGTGTCTGTGGCCGAGCTCTGCATTGAACCCTGATGTCCTGAACCTTAATCACAAGACCATCCATCTCTCCACACAATAGGTTGTGAAGGTTAATGTACATTGAAATTGGGCTAACGAGTGTGGATAAGATGAAAACTGATACTACTTTTCACTCAAGCAGAACCAAACTCAAACTTATTTTGACTGTAACAGAAACATCCAGATAATCTGATTATCTCTTGGAGTTGGACATGCTGTACCTGTTGGGACTTGATGTTCAATTAAAATGAAAGGCTTTTCTCCATGAATAAGACAGTAAGTGCTGAATATGTAAACAGTCAAATGCTCGCTTAATAATCTTTATAACTGAGGGAATTGCTACTGTCTTTAAATCAGGATAATTTCATTTTATATTTCTATCACCCCTTTGGTCCTGAAGGATTCCCAAGTACTTTACAAAGCAGGAAGTTATGTTAGTTATGAGTTTTGTGACCAGCAATTACAAACATATCTCTTTAGACCACTGGATTGCAGCAAGCCTTGACATAGAGAACAGCAGCCGGGTGGGTAATTAGGTGTACTATAGTGCATGGCAGTGAAGGGAGGGAAAATTTTCAACCAACGACATTGGACAAACTCCTACTTTTATGAAAAATGCTCAGGACGTTTAATACCATTGCAAATTTTCAGACTTTGTCTCAAAGGGCCAGTGCGGTAAACTTCATGACATTGCACGTATCTAGCTCCGAAGGATGTAGGGTTGGATCAATCTCACCATAATTCCTAACTGCTCATTTGCCCCAAAACCTCTCCCTAGGGTCTCATTCGGTCACCCTCTCCAATCACTTTTTCAGTGTGTGAGGAGACATAAAAGGGAACCATGCCGCATTTTGGGCCGCAGTGTCATTGGTGCCCACATGACAAAAATCGAGTGAATATCTAAGGGGGAAAATCTTTAAATGTATCACTCAAATAAAAAAAATTGAATTCACTTTATCAGCTTTTACCCATCTTTTGTTTTCTTTCTCAGAATATTCCAGTGACATACGCATGCTTGAAGTGAATTTTAGGAATATGCAAAGCAATCACATTTTACCTTTGTAAACATGAATATTTGCGCCGGAAACCTGACTTTAGGGATTATTCTAACCCAATCAGGGAGACAAAATAACACCATTGTCCAGATTTTTAAAAGCATTTAAGCATCTGAAGATGCAGCTAGGGATCTTACTGGGATTTTTCATAAGTGCCTAGGCAATTAACTCCACTGGCTAGCCAGGTGACATTGGGCAAGTCACTTCACTACTTTGTGCCTCAGTTTCCCGAACTGTAAAATGGGAAAATGACACTTATCTTCTTTGTAAATTGCTTTAAGAGCTATTATTACAATTGTCAGCTGAATTGTTCCCTGTGAATTATTCATTCTCTTCTACACCTCTGCATGCACAGAGAAAGACAAATTGGATTAAATTTTATTTGGACAAAATAGAGGAGTTACTGGTGAGTAAAGAGAGCTGTGGTTTAGCAGAGATTTTATCTGCTGCTTCTTTTGAAATGCTGTGCTCAGCTTTCAAGGATGTTTGCAAATTATGGATCCTTGTCTACTCCTGGATTCCCATGTAGCAATGGTGGCCAAGTGTCCTTTCTCACATTTATGACTCACCGTTAAGACTGATGGCATCTATTCATGTTTTTTCCTCTATTCCCTTTGAATCACTCAGAGAATCTAGCTTATTTTTTTTCCGTTGTTGTTGTGCACTAGGTAAACCAAATATAGGGTACTCAATTGTGCCAGCATAAGTTTTGAGGGAGAGGTTTTCTTTATACACATAAGTCTTTCTTTTACCTAAAAATATTGTTTATAATGAATAATGCAGGGAATAAATACAGATTTTAATTACAGAAAACAAAAGCTCTCAAACTAGAAACCCAAAAGATCCAGAGGCGTCTGTGAATTCTCAGACTTCACAAGGTTCAATCCTCCCTAATAAATATTGTGCCAACTAAAATATTTAGAATAAAATAGTGATGCGCTAAGTTTCAGAAACCATGTTCTAGTAATGCTAGATAAAGGTTTGATAGATAGATTAAAGTTAATAGGAACTTCCCATCAATAAACAAACAATAACATCAGCAGATACTGCATGCACAGGCCTAGAGATTAATTTAATGAATGAAGCTGGGGTTGAGTAAGATAGTGTCTGCAAGAGAAGTCCAGATGATGACTCCAAGAAGTCCTAATAAAGACTAAATTAAATGTTATACTGACACAGACACTAGCATCCCTCTGCACATCAGTTAGGTGCACTTAGGTTAGGCTCATGGTTTCTGAATGTGAATCTAGTTCCACTTAGACCTTGTCAAACTGAACAATCAAGCCATTTTAGCAGGAATTGTATTAAATGCAAGTTTGAACATCATTAAAAACTCAGTACAGATGAGGCCTAAACAATATTCACAGTAAAGTCTACAAAATGGTGGGGCTTCCATGGTGCAATGTGTGGGTTTTCTAAAAGGACCAGATCATGCATGTGAGTAGGGCACTGGCCCCATTAGCTTGCTCTGGCTGTAAGAAAGTCCGTTCATTTCAAGAGTCTTATAAATATTGTCTATCCCCTTAGTCTAGTAATAAACAACAAATAGGGGAATGTACCATATAAAACAAATATACAATTCATGACAGAAGATAAACAGATTTTTGCTGAGATAAAAAAGTCCTTGGAAATATTTATTGTTTTTGATCCCAATGAATTATAATCTGCTTTGAGGAACTGGCAGCTGAATATACATTTTGACTACTTTTTGTATGCTACTAGATGTGCATGACACTGTAGAGGGTTAATATAGCATACAGTAATTGACGAAACTCTTGTTAAAATAAATTTTTGGAAATCTTGAGACCTTTTACCATTTGTGCCATGATAATACGGGCTGGAAGTAAACTCACTTGAAGGACATTTTAATGGCAACACGTTTAATGAAGTCAATTGGTAGTTTTATAATGGCAGCAGAGTGTGTTCTTGCCATTTTCCCATTTAAAAAGAATAAAAGGCCAACCAAGGACCAGTCAGTCAAACTGAAATAGGATTTGATGACATTTTCACTCCTGAACTCTTGGTATAAAATGGTCATCTAAGAAAGAACTGATCGGAAATGTGAGAAATTTGGCACTAAAACTGCATAATTGCATGTAAGTGCTGAAAGAAAAAAATGATCAGGTAAAGATATTGCATTTTATATTATATCTTTGGAAAGTTTGTATTGGTGTATATGTATGTATATATTAAGTTTTCCTTTAAAAAAATTAAACTAATTCGTGTTTTTCCTTTCAGTCTGTTCAGATTAAACTTCATTTTAATTATTTGGATCTCAACAATGCACCTGTGGGGGTGTTACCCAACTGTCCCTTCTACGGTAAGCTAATCTTTGAACATCATCTATTTCATTTATTTTAAATAGACATTTTAGTTAAATTTAGTTGGATTATTTTTAAATACTATTTGATCAAACTTGTTTTTATGTTAACGGTGTAGAATAAATATTACTATCAAATGTTCCTTGTTATGAAGAATTAGTTGCTAGCAAGGTAGACAGGATTCTCTCTAAAAGAATCTATTAGGCATGAAGTGTTTATGCTTTTGTGCATGGGATGCAGCTTATGCATTGGTTTCAGCCCTGGGACTGAGAATGGGAAGCATTGAGCTCTGACACTGACTTCCTCTCTATTTCATCTCCCTATATTAGCTTCCCCATCTGTAAAATAGAAATAACAACACATATTTACTTCATACTGTTATTAGTTAATATTTGTAAAGTTCTGTAACTGTTAGGCATTCTTAATAGGTTTGTATGCTGAAGGATAACTCCTAAGCAATATTGTAGTTGTCTTATTAAAAGGAACCAATGGGGAAAAAACATCAGCCTATAGAATGAATAGTAATATTTTCTCCATATTATGTATCTATGTATTTTAATAAAGTTCTCTAAAGTAGAAGTAAACAGGATATTTTAAAGGTAGTGCATACCAATATTTGATGTCTGGGATGGGGGAAATTACTATAGTAGAATATCAAACTTTATATAAAGTGCCCCATGAAAGATTATGCAAACATGTTCTGAATTAGATGTCTTGCTCCAAATAGTAATTAAGTAGTTCAATGTTCAATTTCCATGTTAGGATATAGTTTTATTTAAAGTATTTTGCTGTATTTATTTTTAACTAGAATATTATTTCTTGGGATCTTAGTTGGGATTCCTTTTTTTTCCCTTTCAGGCATGTATTTTATATCACCAGATTTTCATTAATGAAATCTATCTCCATTACAAATAGTATCTACTTGTGTCTGTTTTCTTTTTATGTTGATGTGAAGTTTGAATTAATCTTCATCAATCAGTCTTCTGATTTTTGTGTGTATGTTTTATTTGCGTAACTGTTTAATCCTGTTTCATCTTTGATTATATATTGTTTAGACCTATTTTGAGCTATTTGACTAGCCATATTTCATTTCAGCTCTCATTATGGCAATGATATAGTATGTCAAATGCTTTTTTATTGTTTAATATATGCCCAATGCCTTTCACTTTCAAATAAGATTAACAGAATGATGACCTTGTTATCCATGAGTTCAAATCCTTGTATGGGTTGCGGTGGTGTCTCTAGAATCTCGAGATGGAATTTGCTTGCTTTATGCTTCTTGAAGAATTTTTTTTTATAAAAATGGATAATTTCCATTTGTCAGAAAACCATAAGCAGAGAGATTGTGTAATGCAGTGGATGGGGTGTGTTACTGGGAATTTGCCTCAGACTCACTGGGTGACCTTAGGCAAATCATAATAATAATACCCATCTTTTGTTAAGTGTTTAGAGATCTATTAATGAGAATATTATTAAGTATTAGATGGTATTATTATAAACAATTATCAGATCAATACTAATATTCCATGGGAATTTTGCCATTGACTTCAGTGGAGCCAGATTTTCACCTCATGGCTTTATATTTAGTGACTTCTCAAACATTAATGAAACATCTGAAGATATGTACACATAGACATATACAGTATGTATATTGTACTATAGATACCCTCTATTGACTGCTAGTGTAATAGGATGAAAGGCTTTATGTAACTACTATATGAGAGGATAGAAAATATAGCTAATTATGGCTCCCTCAGTATGTATTTTATACATTTTTATAATTGTAAGATACAGTAAAAGCTCTGAGTGTATATGTGTGAAAGAAAGGGGAGGAGGGGGAGAGAAAGATACCAAACTACTTAAATGCAAATAATCAAAAATATTTTTGTCAGTATTAAGAAACATAATCAGGACTGTAACTGTAATAGTGAAAGAGAAACCCCAAAAGCTGCTGTGCATTACTGATGTTTCCATTTCTGGTGATATCTATCTTTTAAACTAAATAGATTTCATGTAAATGGTAGTGAAATTGCTGTTACACTATTAATAGAAAAAACTTATTTTATAATGGCAAATGTGTACTGTACTCTAGAGAAAAGTGACTGTCACCTGCCACAACAGACAACATCATTAGTACTGCATTGAAAATAACATGTTTCGGATCATAAATATAACTATAGAAAAATCAGAATTTTATACAGGTAAAATACCACTTGCATTTTCAGAAAAGCTATAAAAACATCCAATTTGGATACTTTTAATCCAAAACAAATAATAGTTAATCCTTGCCATTTTAACTGTAAATGACTTTTTTGTCTTTCGGCTTTGCTATTTACAGTGGGCAAGTCCCAGCAAATGTGCAAATCCATAATTATGGCTTTTCTGATCTGTGATATATATTTTTTTAATCTTCTGAGCAATAATCCTTTTTATTTGAATTGCCAGCTGTCCAGGAAATCTGATTACTGTCTCATCCTGCTGAATAGCTGCTTAGCCAAGCTGGACGGGAGTGAAGAATTGACTTTTCTAAAACCTTTCCTGGAGAAGTCTTTCATTAAAAGGTCCTTTCGCAATGGAGTTGGATCAGGAATTAAAAAAACTTCCTTTCAAAGAGCAAAGTAATAAATAACTGCTCAAGAAAGTATCCTCAACTTTAGCATCTAACATTTAACTGTGAGCTTAAAATAATTTGCAATGCATTTCTGTGATAAAACCAAAAGAGACAAATGTATCAGCATGTTCATAATGTAAACAGATGTTTATTTCAAATAGTGCAAGCCAAGTGAAGCAGATTAAATTGTTCAGTACAGGCATTGTTTTCAAAGTTACAATATCATAAAGTTTTGTATTGATACAAATGTGTTTTCAGCTGGTTAATTCCCCGTTTGTAAGACTACAGATTTAATCAGATTGCTCTTGATTAACACAAAAATAGTTCTGTGCTTTGAAAGCATGCACACATGCAACCGATCTTGAGGATGGCAGCATTATATCCTACATATGCTCATCTTTGGTCTAAAAGATATCCTTATGGTTAATGCAGGGCATAGCTTCACTTTATTAGCCTGATTATCATTTACATGAAAACCACTTTACACCACTCTGGTAATATAAAGAGGGTCTTAAAATGTAATTTAAGACATCTTTACACTGATCTAGAGGTGTAAAGGGCCATTTGTGAAAAAGAATCAGGCCCTATGTTTACACTCTAATTTATTTTTAATATAGTTATCTAAAATGACTTCAGCAGGAAGTAATCTCTTGAGATGGCATTTCATTTTCAGGAGTGTCCTGGGAAATCATTCAAAGTCACTGTAGCAGTGCATGTCCCTTTGCTTCAATTAATCAATTAATGTAGGCAACAAATATCTGATGATATCTGCCAAATGTAGGTCTTGCCTATTTTCTGCTGTTATGGTTGTGCTCTAATGAACAGTGGTCCATTTTTGTTTTTTCTTTGCTGTAAAGTAACTGGATAGATGTTTGTTCTCAAAATATTGTAGATTTTGTCAGCTGGAAAGGTCATCTGCAGAGTTACATTATTTGTGTGAATTTTACCTTGTGGCCATTTCCTTCAAACAGTGATGTAACAAACTCTGAATGTTGGCTTAAAAATGTAGCAATGTGTATTTGTTTAGATGCATTTTGAATTCCAAAAAATCTATTAATAAATCAATGTATGGATCATTTCACATATCTCATTTCTAACATTATGAAGAATGAAGTGGTGTTATTAGACTGGGAACAGTGTTTATTTGTCTGAACTGTCACAAAAGGAACATTGTCATTAATCATTGTTTTCGTGTTAAGAAAATATTGGATACAAGTGCTCAGCTCAGCGGTGCTCATTGCCTACTGGTTGCAGCTGAGTGGGTGGGGGTGGGGGTGGGTATGGAGGGGAGTTCAAAGTAACTGGTTGCTGCTTCCTGATTCTGGGGACAATTCCATATTGATTCTAGTGTATTTTAGAACAACTATGGGACTTCTCTAAAGCATGTCTGGAGATATCTCCAGAGGCCATTAGGGGTATGTCTACACAGCAAAGAAAAACCTGCAGCTGGCCCATGCCAACTAGGCTCAAAGGGCTCTGGCTGCAGGGTTATTTCATTGCTGGGTAGACATCTAGGCTCGGGCTGGAGCCTGGGCTCTAGGATCCTGCAAGGTGGGAGGGTCCCAGAGCTTGGGCTCCAGCTTGAACCCAGAAGTCTACACAGCAATGAAACAGCCCCGCAACCCCCAAGCCCTGCAAGCCCAGTCAGTTGGCATGGGCCAGCTGCAAGTATTTCTTTGCTGTGTAGACCTACCCCTGACACATGCACAGATTTTTTAAGGTGTTGCCCTATTCAGCATTATAAGTAGGGTTGGCAGAATTTGATTTTAATCGGAGTTTTTTTTCCTTCAATTTTTATTGCTTTAAATGTTCACAGTTGTGAGAAATTAAGGGGATGGGTTAGATAATTATTTAATGTCAGTAAACATTGAGATTTATAAAGTTAAAGCTTTATAACCATTAAAACACAAATTATCAACATGTCAAAATATGCAAAGCAAATATCCTTAAACCATAATAAGTTCTCAAGCAGCATTTTTCTTACTTTGCCTACCTGTACATTTCAATTATTATCATTAGAAATATTTTTTCATTGGGTTATGTGTGTATGGGTGAAATTGAAGTTTACCAACATTTAACATAAAAATCTAGTCTGTCCAAGCCTAATCACAAAATCTAAGTGCCTTAGATAGCTACATTCCACTTTCAAAAGTCACTTAATCACTTAGGATCTTATGTCTCATTGAAAGTCAATGAGACTTAGGCTCCAAAGTGCCTAAATCACTTTTAAGTGGCATTCTGCCCAGTATTCACCTAAATGACAATATAAAGCCTGAGTGATATAAAGCCTGAAAAATGCCCGGTATCCAACTAAATTACACAAGTGGCTCTGCCATCTGTTGTCTGATCTTGCATTCACTGCACACTCAAATCTCTCATTGCTGATGCTGTCTTTTATAGGAATGCTAAAATCCTTTCTATGCTTTAAAGGTAGATTTTTTTTGAAGGAACATAGAGTAACCATAGTGACCTCTGTCAGAAAATAAGGATGTAAGACTGTGGTGATGATATTGCTAAGCACGTTAATGTTTGCTCCATTTGCCTATACAGTCATAGTCCACTTGATAAAGAGATTTCTTATCCTGAAAATATGATATATAGGGCTACGTTTTCAATGCACAAATACCAATATTGAAGGATGCAGAAATTTTGGCCTATAGCATCATTAAACTATAAAAAGAAATTACATTGCCATCAATACTTTTTCATTATTCTGTAACAAAACATTTCATTCACTTGCACTGTTGATTAGTTATTCTTGCAAACATGAGAGAGAGAGAAAGAGAGGTGTGATCTAGGGATTGGAGCACAATAGAGGGAGCCAGGAATGCCTGAGATCAATCCCAGCTATTAACAGTGACTCTTTCTGTAGCCTCAGATAAGTCCCTTCACTTCTTCTCAGTTTCCCCATCTGTAAAATAAGTAATTACGTTTATCCAGCTATCTCAAATCTGCAGTCAGGATTAATTGATTTTTACAGTACTTTGAAGATGAAAAGTGATTCATAGGTGCTAAGCAAGAGAAGGGATAGTCTTCTTCTAAGATAAAGCACTGGACTGGGATTCAGAGGATGTGAGTTCTAGTTCCAACTCTGCTACAGACATCTAGTGTCACCTTGGGCAAACAATATCACTGATTTTTGGTGTGTGCCTGTTTACACACCTGTAAAATGGGTACAATAATATTGACCTACATCCTTGGGTGTGGGGGAAGATAAATTTATTAAGACATTCAGACCCTATGGTGATGGATCTGAAAAGCCTTTAAATAAATATTATTATTCTTTTCTCTTTACTGGATGCTATAATCCACTCTTTTAAAAAGACACTCAAATTTACTCTCTTTAAATACTGTATGCAGAATCTCTGGCCTATGAGGGTATTTAATTTATTTTGCTCCAAAATTTTTGGACAGATAAACAGCTGTATTTTAAAAGTCTTGTAAATCTCAACCTGCAAATGAACTATGGCCTGTGGAAGCACTCCTCGGGTGTAATTATTATTATTACTGTTTAACATTTATATTGCCGTAGTACTTTAAGACCACAACTACATTTGGGCCCATTATGCTAGGAGCTGTATAAACAGCTAGGAAATGGTGGTGCTGACCCCAAAGAGCTAGTAAATTTCATAGGCTAGATTTGCAAACAAAAATCCACTAACTAGTAATAAAAACATGTAGAATCACGAACTATATATAAGCGCCTATGAGTCACAGCACATAAGAGGAATGTACAAAATTTGTCCAGTAACAGATATTACCTTACCCACCTCGTCTCTCAAAGTAACTCAAGAATTCTGGACTAATATGTGGTTTCTCAGGCTACTATGATACATGGGAGCCAGTCTGTGCATTCACGGGGGGCTGTTATGCGGACACTGCATCAACATCGTGGTACATCAAAGATTTCATCATGGCTTCCCTAACTACTGCAGGCCTGGGCTACTGCCATGTACAAGACTTCCCCAGCAGGACAAGAAAAACTATTCTGGGGTGTGCCGTGAAGATAAGATCACCTCTTAAGACCCACCTCTTGTGTGAGTCTGGAGCCCCATGAAGGAGAATCTCAGCCTTTCTAATTCTTTTTCTTGAGAAGTTAGCCAGGAAAACATATATTGACATAAGCCGATATAACAGATCACTACGTTTGAAAGGAACAAGCAGCTGGGTACCATTTATATAGCAGGAGGCTTGCGGGTGACAGGGGCACAAAGAGATTCCCCTTTCCCTTGCCTCCAGACACACATTCTTTGAATGCAGAAGGAGTCGGTTAGATTTTCAGTGTATCCCAAAGACTCTTCTCACTAACTGCCCCCAAAATGTGTAAGCTGGCCTCGTGCACAATCATGTGGTCATGGTGGACAGGGAAAGGCTGTGTTTGTGAGAAGTGTTTTAAAGGTGTGTCCAAAAATACTACCAACAGCCCTGCTTGGTACTGTTTTCAGTCCTCTTTGAGGATGGGACTGAGGTGGCTGCTGCTCACTCAGGCCTCTGCTGAGCTGTAGGTAGCATCTGCTATTGCTTCAGCCACAGCTGAAGACACAAGGAAAACTGCATTGTCACCAATGCTGCTAGGTGTACATGAATGTAGGAAGGACTGAAGGAAACACACCATGTAGTCCCTGAATTCCACTCTCTGGTTGCTCCAACATCATATGAGAAGGCATTGGAGAGGAGACAAGGCTAAGATACTGCAGCCTACCACAGCTTGTCTCTCCCCCAGCTGAGGCCTACCTGCTGAACCCCAGCCCAGGGTTTAAAGTACTGGCATCATAGTATCCCTGTATCCTCCATCCACTATGCCCAGGTGAGACCTTTCCCTTATCTCACTAGCTAGAAAAGACCATAGGAGAAGATCTATCCACCTCAAGAACCAAAGGAAGCCCATTTTCCAACCTGCCTACGCTAGAGGTTCATGCTACGTATGTGACCAGCCACCACATAGCCAGAGGCCACAGGATGACTCAGCTTCCACCATCACTGCCAGAAGAGGCTAAAGGTTTCCCACCAGCCTGCCAGCATTGCTGCTACGAGGAATAGCTGCAAGGTAGATAACTAGGGAAGCTTCCAGGAGGTGGTGGGATGGGGAAAGCATGGTGGAATTTGGGGTGGAGATGAAAGGATTAATGAAATAGGCAGGATAAGTGTAAGAAATTAAGCGAGGGAATAAATAAATTGAATTGATGGGTATATGGAGGAAGGAGGGAAGAGACTGGAATTGATGAATTTTTCTGATAAGTGGGCGGGAAGTGTCTGAGATTTATGGGGGGGTTTTCAGAGGAGTGAGGGTAAAGTCTGAAACTCATAGACTGTGAGCTGGGGTAAGGCCACCTGGCCATGGCCTGCCCACTTTCAAAGAAGAATACAGGATTGTTACTTGGCTGTGTTTTGACCAGTCTGGCCAGTTTTTTTACTCTGGTCAGTTGCTGATCAAGTGTGTTGTTTGTCAGGGGTTTTGCTGCACACACATGCAGCCTCTTGTGCTGCAATCTTGTAACTAGCAACCACATACACTGTGGCCAGGAGCATGCTGCAGCCAGCACCTGGGTCCTGCTCTGCTTGCACAGTGTGCTGCATCCTCACCTGCTGACAGCTGAAACTGCGGCAGCTCCGCTCAGTGCTGCAGACTGGCTGGGAAGAGGAACAGAGTAAGGTAAGGAGTGGGGGTGGGCAAGGCAGGAGCTTCCGAGAGAGGACAGTAGGGCTGAGGCTCCTGGGAGGGGATGGGTGTAGGAGCTCATGGGCCAGGGGGCTAGTAGGGGGACACCTGAGAAGGGAAGAGGAGGCTCAGGCACAGTGTGTGGGGGAATCTATGCCCCCCACACACATACTTTAAATGATGCTCTGCACACTCTGCTGGGACTGATGGGTTTTATGGCAGGCGGAGTAGAAGAGTATGGGATTGATGTTTTTTCTGAGGGATGGGCGGAAGAGTTTGGAATTGACAGCTTTTAATATGGAACGGAAGGTGAAAGACTGTTTTACCTATGGACTGTCACACAAATCACTCTCTCAGGAAAACGGCTGCTCAAAAATTTTCTGTCCAAGCTGCTTTTCGACAGAAATTTTTTGTGAG